TTTGTTATCCAAAATGAATGAATTACTCTATTGCATTGGATTTTGGCAAATACTAGATTCTGACACTAGTTATGTCCTTTTCCAAACTGCATGCTAGATACTTTTCCTACTTTCAGGGCCCTTTGATTTTTTCTTGCATGCAGTTCTGTGGTAGATAATCTTAATTAGCAGAAGCAAAGCTGCATTTAAAAGAGGAATAATTGTGGCCTTGTCAAGTAAATCTCAACAGTGATTTTTTTAGGCAAATCTTGGGAATGGCAACAAACATCACGGCCTGCAGTAATTTTAGGTGATTAAATACTTGACTTTTACTGAGACTGAAGTTTATTAGGAATTTTAAAAACATATTTCTCAAGCTGTGTTGGTATGACATTTCAGAACCCTATTCTCATTTTGGAAATTCACAATTAACAGTCATTAATCAGTTATTCTACTGTGGCCACAAGCTAAACTTTAGCAACGTTGCTCTGATTATAATTCAAACACATGGAATTTACGAAATAGCTTGTAACTGCACTGCGGAGTATATCTTTGCTGCAACTCCAATTCAAATCTAGGCACTTAATTCGATCTTCTTTCATGCTCTAAACTACATTTATATCTACTATTAACTTGCATGGCAGAGGCAAAAACAAGCATAATTCAGAGAAAGGGAACATTTTTCTCTTTTCACACTGACCTGTCTTTTACATGACTCCTTCACTTCATCAAGACCTTGAAATATGTTCCTCAGAAATGAAATGATGTACTTTATTGAGTACTTTGCTGAACAGAAATGGAACACTGCACTGAGGCTTATGTTATCTAACTGCTAAATTAAATCTTATCCTCTTTTATTTTTTTATTTTTTTATTTTTTTGTGGGAATGTGCATTCTCTGCCTTTTCTTGGGAACTAGAAAATAAGTGATTGAGAGCAGAAAGAGCAAAATTACTGCTGTCCTGGGAGTACAGTTCATTAAGCCAGTAGTCAACCGATAAAGAAGTGTGTATTTCAGTGTCCTTCTCTGAGCTAACGCTACCTTTTGGAATGGTGGACCTAACACTGATAGCATTACTTCTGATTTATGCATCATGAAGTAAGCTTTATTTTATTTACTTTGTTTTAACATCACTGATGGATATTCACTGGATTTACAGCAAGATGGCCAAAGAAGCATGTTAGACTGTGAATGCTACACATGGAAAATTACCAACTATTTTTCCCAGGACTCAGGTATAATGCACAATAGTCAGCAAAGGTATAGTGCTTTGGTCACAGATCTCCAGATCTGGAAAAATATCCTATAGAGCATACCATATGTTCTTCTTCTTCTTCTTCTTCTTTATTCGGAGACATTCTGAATGACCTTTGGAATGGAAGCTGGCAGATCCAGCACTCCCATTTTTACTCAAGAATACTACTGGAAGAAATTCAGTATCTCCTTATAATTAAAGAATCCAGACATAACCATGTCTTTTGTCTAATTGCATTGTGGAAGCTACTTATTCTTTGCCACCAACCAAATTTAATTTTAATAAATTTTAATAATAATTTAATTTTTTAATTTTATTAATTGAAATAAAATTTAACAGCATGTTAGTTCCTAGTTTAATCCCCAAATGCTGCTGCCCAGTATCTTACCTCGTAAGTTCTAACTTTTGTTGCTGTCTCACTTTCTGATGCAAAAAGCTAATAATATTTGTAAAAGGCAACTCTCAAATGTAGATGGCTGTATAGAAGTGTGAGTGTTGGCTGCCGACTGAGCAGTGCATGAAACATGGTGAGAGAAAAAGAAAGAAGCTTATTTTGTGCAGTGAGACCACAAAAAGACTGTTTCAATGTTGTCTAGACAATACCTCAGATAACCCATTATGCATAATCCTGTACAGACAGGAACGTGAGTGCTCTTTCATCAGCTTGAAATCCAATCAGCATCCATTACTTGCAGGGGAGAGAGAAATTTGCTGGGTTTAATCGCCTAATTCACTTTCCAAAACAGCCACATGTCTCAGCAGATACAGGAACCTATAGGGTGGCTCCAGACAATGACTCCTTTAGTTATAATAACTCATCTCCCATGCCTGAGCTTCACAACCTCAAGGACATCTTACAACATGATCCATATAGAAGGACTGCCATTATAGATTTACTTACTGTTCTTGGCACTTCCTTCCTCTGCTCTTTATCTGTAGTCAGGATAGTCTTTTCTCTCCAACTTTATGTCAAACTGAGTAACAACAATAAAGATAAAAAGCTATCTTGTAACAGCAGATGATAAAATTATTTAAGCATTTGGAAAAATAATTCAAAGAGCTTTAGAATAAGATTGAGAAATCCTGACAAGGGTAACAAAAATATTTTTCACACTTACAGGACCTTAAGAAGAAATTCAGCATGATATACTATGTTCAGGGTGCACAGATCACAAGGAAAGGCTTTTGTTCTTCCATTTTGTTTTATTTCAAGCTTTTCTTTCTTCCTTCCCTGCAGTTACGTTTCTCACTCTTCAGGATGCTTTGGATTAGAAATGATTATCCAGGATCACAGCTATCAACAACACATAGGAAAAGCAAGTAATATTGTCTCCCTGCTCAGGTGGGTCCTTCCAAAGGTGTAGCTGTCACTAAGATCACAACAGAGAGCTACTTTCAGTGCTGCCTTTTTCTTGTATCCATAATAGCATTTGTTAAATAGAAGGGTCAAGAGAATTTAAAAATAATAAAAGATCCTCCCTGCCCTTCCTTCCCCAAAGACTTTTTCTAGATCTCTTCAAAACATGGGTATAGAGACCAGGTACTGTGACTTACACCAAATATCAGGTTGTTTTCAAGATACCTTGCACAATAAATCATCCTGAGCAAAGGGTTAAATGTCTCAGTATGTCTGTCCAGCAATTAGGATGGCTGATGGTTATGATTCAGAGTATAAGAGTGTAGTTTCAGTAAGTCTGGTGGCCTTCTTTGAACTCAGACCTTCTTATGAGGTACCTGTCCTACCTTCCCAGGGATAGGACAGTAACACATCCTGAAGCCTGTGAAACACTGCTGTGGGTGAATGAACTACTCTGTAAACAGAAAGCTGGGTTTAAGAGCTCTGTAGTATCACCAAAACCTCAAGACCATTGTACTGCTGGAATGCAAAGAGAACTAATGAGTGAAAGTAGACAGGAAAATAGCAATGTGATATTTTCACATCAGGGTATTTTCAGCAAAAGATTCAGGAAGGCTTCCAAAGTGTACATATTTTCTATCCCATTGTAAATCCAACTGTTGCCCTATAGCAGATCAGAGAATTGATTTTAAGGGAATCAACCTAACTGACAGCCACTGCAGCCTTAGAAAATGTACTCCCACTGCATGCTCTACAAACACTTGTGGCATGTATATTTAATATACAGTCATGCAAGATCTGATCCACTGTTCTGCTTTGCACTGATTGCTTTCAAGGATTTACATTTTGCCTGAGGAGAAAAAAAAGAAATTTAGAAAAAAAAAAAAAAGAAATTTTTACAGAATAAAACATTGTCAGAGAATAATGCTCTCTGGTTGCTTCAGACCAATAAAAGAACCATGAAACATTCCTTGGAAAGAGGTGATCATAGATCCTGTGAGCATAACACTTCATTTCAATGCCTTAGTTTCTATTATGCCAAAATATATCAAAATATCTCAGTCCTTTTTTATATATAATTTAGCTTACACATCTGATTTCATCCCTTTCCAAATGACCTCAGAAAGTCAGAAACGTTACTGTTTCTTTCTGATTCTGAACTCAGTGTTCAACACAGGCATATTTCAAACATAAACATAGTGACTTGTGTTAAAATGTAAACCGGACAGCATACTGTTTCAAAACCAGTTCCTGCTTCCTTGACTTCTCTGCTAATATTTATTACGGAAACGTAGATTCCTTCCCAAACTAGAAAGGTACATCACAAAAAGTGTCTCTATATTTGTCCAACTGGTACATACATTTGTGTACTGATAACTGATCCAGACTACTTGTTAAAGTCTTGGTCTTTTTTCAAAGACAAAAAAAAAAATTCTCTCAAAGAATTTGAAATTATTTTATACGTGCCACTTTGGAGTATAGTATCTCAGGATGTTTTTATCATTTCTTTTAAAGACATTAATGGTACATTTAAAAGAAGTGACCACTTAGAGAACAGTTGAGTTCCTGCTCAGTCATTGAATATTCTGGATCTCAAGTAAAGCTAGAAAGACTTCTCAGAAAGTTAATTATTCCTCTTACGACCACACAGTATGAAGAAGAGTAGTGACAATATTAAACACTTCTGCAGATACACATTATCCGTTTACGATTATTTACAGGTAACTACTCAAGAAGCCCATTCTTATTATCTTCTGAGTGTATTCATTAAAAAGTAACTCTAAAATCTGACTAACTTGTTTCTAAGTGTTTGCTAATGACAGCTTTATTCTGCTTAGTAGCTGCAAATTTGCAATATACCAGTTTTTGGTAATGTCTGCAGTTAGTTTCTTTTCAAAAAAGTCTGTTTTTTTGTGTGTTTTTTTTTTTTTTTTGGAGTGTTGGACATGATCTAGATTTTAGTGTGTAATTATTTTAGAAATGTTTTAATTTTTCAACCATCATCAATTTATATAAGTTTGATTTCTGATTCAAATGAGATATAGTTGGGAAGCACGCTTATTTTAAATTTACCAAACTATGCTCTAGCTAGTTAGCAAATGAACCATCAAATTCGTTTAATGCAATTCATCTTGAACCTTGAATTTTATGTATTGTATCAATTATCACAGATTATCAAGAATATGAAATTGGTACGTCCATTAACCATCCACACAGGTGAACAAGGCCTCTAATTATATATGTAGAAGAAGGAGAAATGCTGTTTCAGAGGGGAAATGTCACAAAATCAGCCCTGCAGCAACAAAAATAATAAAAAAGCTTATTGAGTTAACTTAAAATAAACAAGAACTGAATTGCTATCTTCAATGCAAAAAAAACCCCAAAACAACAAAAAACAAAACAGACTACTTTTCTGAATGCCATAAAAATAAACTATTTTAATAGATACATAAATAAGAAGTTTAAAGTAGAATTCTCCCCAAAAACATAAAGATGACCTAGCTTCTGTACAGAAACTGAACAATATTCACGTGACTACTTAATCAAATAATCACTTTGTTACATTCAAAGTAATTGGAGGCAAATACATAATGAAATGATGTACCTGAATCATTCTCCTTTCTCATCCTAGCAGTGTCTACAATATTTTCTTGCTTTACAGTACTCTGAGGATGTGGATCTGTTAAATAAAACTCTGAATGAGAGAGTGAAAATAAAATTAAAAATCAAAGGAAACAAACAAACAAACAAACAACCCTAGCACCCAGAGGGGCACCTTGCATCACCCACTAATTAGAGTTGCAATGGAAGACAAAAAAGTATTGTGCTGTAAAATAAATTATGTCTTTTATGTACTGTAGTATAGCTATCTTAAAGTGTTTAAATATTACATTCACTTTGGTGATTTTTTGGTGCTTTTGCCTATGCCTATAATAAATTACACATGGCATGTGCTAGCTGCTCATGTGTGCTGAATAACAGCCTTCTGGTTTTACTACAAATGGGGTGAGCTTAGCACATTTAGGGAATTTAAAAAGTATTTCTGGTTTATCTATGACAGACACAGTCTAATTTAAAGCAGCTTTCTTCCCATCAGGCTCCTCTCCCGAACCTCCCTCCCCCCTAAAGTTATACGGATGGCTTCATGCTTTTGCTGTGCTGTACCAAAAAATGTCATAGGTTGGTGACTAACACTCTCTGACATACAGAGGCTCTCAAAGGTTTTTTTTTCCTTTCTCCCTATGAATCATCAGGTCAGTTTGAAATCATCTGCCATTTTAACCTCTCCATAGTCTCCAAAAGTTCCGACTAATTTATGCAAGGAACCACCATTTGTCCATCAAAAATGGGATTTCTGAAGTTATCTGTGTTGTTATCTGGAATGTAGCTGTAATGGGTGAGCACCATTCTTCCTGTAAAGGAGAAAGTTTGTCGTGTGGATGTTCATGAATCCTCAAGGCACAGTGTCAAGGTATCTTGTGCTGGTGAAATTTGAGAACAAATAAAAAGATGACAGCTTCCATCCGTAGTGCAGAGCTGGCATTTCTGGTATACTCTGTGAGAAGTTCAATAAAATCGGGCCAAGCTGACTTAGACTTGGCAAAAGACCATGTGCTTGAGTCTATCCACCAGCAAGACGTGAACGGCAATGTAATGATTGCCCTTTTTTCCGATTTGCTTTTTTCTTGTTCTTATTCTTCTTCTGCTTATTTGCACCTTTACTTTTATCTGACTTCTTTTTCTTTTCGTCCTCCTTAAACCACGGACCCCAGACTCCTCCGTTCAGCTTCGGGTTACTCCGAGGGTCCTTAGGTGGGTATCGAACAGGAACTGCAGTCTTATTGAACTGTGAAAGCCTCCGCAACAACTGCTTCACTACGTCTGGATACCGTGCAGAGAGGTCCACCCGTTCGTACGGATCAGCGGTTATGTTGAAAAGCCACACGGTTTTGCCAGCTGACCAAGAGACGCGTTCGTTGTGCCAGCGGTTGGGGCCCACGTTACTGAAGGCCTGTGGGGGCACCCAGTCGCTATAGCCAGGATTTCCTGTCAGTAGTTTCCAGTGATTCACTCGGATGGCAGACTGAATCGCGGTGTTCCAGATCCCGTAGCCAGCTGCCCAGGACCCGTTTTTGGCTTTGGTGTAAATTGGGTCGATGTTGTGCAAGATGTCTACCCGTGGAGAACGTCTGCCTTCGCTGATGGTTTCCCATATATCATAGCCATCCAGCTGGATGTCTTCATCGATCTGTCCTTCTGCCAGTGTGATCAAAGTGGGGAACCAGTCTGTGATGTGCACCAGCTCCTTACACACAGACCCTTTGTTTTTCAGAAGGGGGCTATGGACAAAGCCAACAGCACGGATGCCTCCTTCCCAGTAGGTCCCTTTGCTCCCTCGCAGAGGCCAGTTACTTCCTCCTGCCATTGGCTGCCCACCATTATCTGAGGAATATATGATAATGCTATTGTCATAGTAACCATACTTCTTTAAAGCAAGGGTTACATTGTTTATGGCTTCATCCAAACAAGCTAGCATCGCAGCATATCTTCTCCTGTTTATGTTATTTATTGATCGATAATGCTCAAAATACTTGCCTGGTGCCTGAAGAGGCGAATGAACGGCTTGGTAAGCAATATATAAGAATATAGGTTTCCTGGGATTATGAGAAGCCAGGATCTGTTGTACTTTTTGCGTGTACATCTGCGTCGAGTAGATGCCATTGTCATGATCCCAAGCTGCATTATCATTCTCGTACAGGTCATAGCCACATATCCCAGGGCTGTCACATTTGAAGTGAGTGTAATAGTCACCACTGCCTAAGAGCGAGCCAAAGAACGTGTCAAATCCTCGCTGCGTGGGCATGCATTCTCTGCGGTAAAACCCCAGGTGCCACTTGCCAACCATGTGCGTTGAATAACCAACCTCCTTCAGCTTCTGAGGTAGCGTGACGTTATCCAGAGGCAAGCAGTTGGGCTGCGTTGGCCGGATGATGGAGTGCTGGAGGCCGGTGTGTATCTGGTACCTGCAGGCAGGCAGGAGACAGACAGATGCATCAGGCAGGGGGAAAAAGGAAACTCTCAGGCTCTTACCCGTGGACACCCGTGCACGTAACTAACAGAAAAAAAAAAAAATCCTGAATGTGAAGCAACTTTCATTTGAGATATTTCAAAGTGCATCTATCAAAAACTCACAAGGCTCTACTGTTAAATCTGCTGAAACAGGAGAACAGCATCTGTTTTACTTCACAAAGAGTGGCTCCCCCCTTTTTCTGGCCACTGGGCAACAATACCAAAGGAGTAACATGACACAGCAGCATCACAGACTCCCCTCCCTTCTGGCCTCATTTTTAGCACTTTAATTTCCTTCCAGCGTGAGCAATGTCAGGGGATCTCAGATGCAACGTGCTGCCTGCGAGCCATTAGTGAGGCATTACTATTTTAAAGCCAGCAGTCAAACTCACCGGCAGTATTCCTTATGCATAATACAAAACCGAGAAGGCAGAATGATTGCGTGACTTTTTCTGGGCATGAACAAGTAGCACAGCCCTGACTCGGGACCAGCTCTCACAGCACGCGCAGCACTGAGACCCTGATGATCTGATTTCTGATCGTCCATCATGCAAAACGCACATGGGCTATGACTTAGCAGAGATATTACTAATATAACAGCGGAGCCAGCCGTCAGCATGTATGTTATGGGGCCTGGCTCTGCTCCCATGGGGTGTCCAACAGTCCCACGTGCGGGCATTTATCTCCTGAGTGAGAGGCCTAAGTACGTGTGTAGGGCAAGCACTCTAGCCAAAAGTAAGGGTGCAGGTGTATTGAAAGATGTTCATGAGCCCCTGAAAGCATAATTTTACCCAGAACTCATCTTCTGTCTCTGCCTAACTAACATGGCTTTGCAATGTTCCCCTTCCTGAACTGAATTAGGTCAAAATATCCTATATAAACAGGATATATTTGGAGGTACCATTTTTTTTTGAGGTACCATTTTTCCCCACAGAAAGCTTTCTCGTGTCACCATTTCACAATGATTATAGGAAATGATGTGGATATACACAATTTTTACAATACCTCCTAATTTGCTAGTGGTAAACATATCCGCAGCATGTAAATATACTGGACTTTGAACATGCAACAGCAGCATATTTAAAGGATAGGATAATAAATCCTGCAGTACAGCCTATGTGTGAAGAATACATATGGCATCCATATGATTAGAAAATGAATTCAGCATGGGCAGTAGCAAGTATCAAAAATCAAGCACCAATCAGTTTATACCACTTTGTCACTAAAAATCAAATGTAACAGCACATTGCAAACCAAAGAAGGCGTCTCCCTGAGTGTGGAACAGACTGAAATCTCAGCCCTGAGTCCCACGGCTAGATGCCTCATTACTGGGAATCTTCCTCAAAAATACTTTTTTATTATTTTGTAGTCGGGACTTCCTGACACATCTTGCTTGTATTGCCAATCTGACTGGCCTCCCGAGCTATTTAGAAAATTAAAAACATTAGGCTCTGCCTGTCCATAAGTAACTTAAAGTCTGCTTTCCTACGATGTCTTCCTGGACAAAACCTTAGTAGGCAACATAGACGTCTTTAACGCCTGCCAATCTGTAATAATTGTGTAACTTCCATTTTATTCTTGGACTTCATTTCACAGACCCAGAAGCCTAACTACTTAATCGCAGAAGCTCTGGGTGCTGCACTCCTGCTTTAAGCTAGCCTGGACTCAGCACACTGCAGCACTGCTTCCCTTTGTCTCCCTGGCACTTTTTCAGGGCATTGTTTCTATCCGTGGCCAGCTTGGGGATCTGAAGCCCAACCATCCAATTGTCCCAGAACTCAAGGGCTGGTGCTGACACAGAAGAGTTCCAGCGTACTCCCAAAATTATGGGTTTCTGAGCTCTACTCTTTGCTTTCATTAAAGAAATGTCACACACACACACATATCCACATCTTTTCCATGATTCAAGCAAAACATTACTCTTCAGAACAGGTAAATTACATAAGGAAACCACACCGACTAATGGCAGTGCCCCATACTTCAGTTTACTCCTTTGAGAGTCCTTCAGAGGAGTGTGCTCAGAAGACATCTAATTTCTTTCCCCTTGTTTTTCCCCCTGCCTTGTCACACTCCTTCAGTAAATTCCTCTGATCTGACCTGACTGAAAAAGTCCTTGCTCGCAGCCTGCTGTTCTAGTGCATAGCTCCTGCCTTCCTGAACCTTGCCAGCCTCTTCTGTCTTCAGATCATCACCCAGGCCCTGTAGGGCAGTTTCTATCCGGCTGCACTGATTTTGCTGGAAGTCGGAATTTTCTCTGCAGTGACGCTGAGGTAATGGAGACCCCTCCGTCCTCCTCCTTGACGCAGAAGCTGGACTTGCAGGGAACGGACAACAGAACAACACGTTGCAGACTAAGCTGCCTCTTGACAAAGCTTACACAGCAAATTGGGTATTCATACAAAGTTAATTCTCGTAAAGAATTCATAACCCACACGTGGATTCCCCAGCTAAGGCTGGATACAATTGTGTATCCGAGCATGAAATTCCTACACTGGCAATCTGACCAATACTGAACCAAAAAATACCACGGATTAGCCTCAGTTTATACATATTCTTCTCAGTATAATACCCGAAATACAGCAGTGCATCTTGTTGCAGCAGTCCCTTCAGTAAGTCACTCAGTATGCTGGCTACAACACACAAACACAGCCCTGCTCAAATTCTTTTCTGTCTGATTTCGTGTGCCCTTGGTATGTTTTCCACATGTATGTGGCTGCTATTTATGGCACTAGCTCCTGAATATACATACACGCACTCATACATACAGATTGTATATGTATTTCCACACATGTAAAAAGGGGTCTGCAAAATAACCAATTTTAAGCCAAAATATTCCAACTGCAAAAATGTTTCAAAGAAATAGCAACCTGTAAGGATCAGGATATTCTTCCCTATCACAAAAATGGCCAGGATTTGCTTACTTTTCTGTGCCACATGCCTTCGTAATTGATCCATTATGTGCTGATATTACTTTTTTTCAGTGAAAGTATTTTATTTTCAAAGGACTTTCAGATGTTTCGTGGGAAAACAAAGCAATCTGAGCAAAAAGACTGTGATTATATGGAAGTAAATGGCATTAATAGCAATAGGAAAAGTCTCTCAACATTACTGCTTTGAAACTGTATTTAGACTATGTAAGAGAAAAAAAATGATCACAGCAAAACATAAAGGAAATAAGAGGCAGATGCTGATTTGGGGGGAGCTCTCTTGGAAGATGAAAGTATGAGCTCACCAACTGCCACCAAATTGCTGGGAAATACATTTTAGAGATTCCGTGGCTTTCCACCCCTCACCAGCTAATTCTTCAGAACACGGATTTAATCCCAAACGCAGAAAGCAAATTCTGATAATGAATTGTCTGGACCTCATCACTGTAATTACAACATTAGTAAGCAGGGTCACTATAAACAAATGCTGACAGACCAAGGAATCCAATTGCATAGCTTTTCAGACGTTGACCTTCATGGACAGTATTCACTGTCCACAGACCTTTATAGGCAAAAGGATGCGAGTATTCTGTCTAAAGCATAGGTGTTCAGGGCTTGTGAATACCTGATGCACTGTTCTTCCTTTCTCCTTACCCCTCCAGGATCTAGATCCTGGCTGTCTCTGTTAGATGGCTCTTCAATGCACATTTTGTCCTCTCGTTTCTATTTTATTAGTGTGGAAGCTGTTTGCAGGAAAAACACTGTTTTAACTGTTCCAGCTAAGGCAGCTGCTTTTTGCTAGCTGAATGTTACACCGCTCTGTTTACTTGTTTGTAGTGGAAACTTTAAAGCAACGGATTCCCAGAGAGAGTGTTACGGTGACTTCATGGGTCCTTCTGGCTCTTGGATGCCGAGAGAAATATTTTGGAGGTTTCTTAAAATAAATAAATAAACAAATAAATCCTCCATTCTCAGTTCAGTGCTGTTTTTCAACATGATTTGCCTTCCTGTTTCAGCCTGCAAGGACGCAAAGCTCGGCCAGAGGCTTTGACATTACTCCTACCCCCAGTCTCAAGGTGCACTGTCCATGAAGTTGTTAAAAGTCAACTGGGCATTCGGGTGCCAGAATCTTTGTGGATGCAAATCACCACAGGGACACTAAAGTCAATTTGACCTGAGCTTGAGGGACGCGTTAACGTTTGGAGACCTAATTTCCCACTTCTGATGTCCTTCGTAAAGCTAAATTACTTTCCCAGTTCTCATCTGAAGAGCAAACCGAAGAAGCGGATCAATGACACTGATCTTTGCACATTTTCACTACTAATCCCCGAAGCAGCAAGCAAGACCTAAAGTCTGTACAGGAAAAAGATTCTCCTGGCATGCCTCATCCCCATGGTGCTTATGCAGTCTTAAACATGCGTAAGCCAAAACAGTTTTCCTTAAAGACATCTCCCTAAGGAGTTTTCTATTCAATACTTTCCCCTTAACTTCAGGGTGGGTTCTCCTCTGAGAAAGAAGCTCAGATGTTTCTAATTTTGTAATGTGCATGCACAAAACCATTAATCTGAAGCTTTCATAATTTTAAAACACTGGATTAATTGTCTTCAAACCGAGACTCTTTTAAGGCTCACTGAAGATTGACAAACCACAGTGTGAAGTTCCTAATTTCAGGAACTTTTGCTAGCACAATTCTAGTTACAGCATGTGGGAAATTTATTTTTAGTACACTTGCATATCTCAGGAAATGTTGAACAAATTTTATCAATTTTTAAAATAAGAAATTCTAGGCTAGGATTTAGAAAAAAAAAATATATATATATATATTAAAGGGAGAGGGGTAGTCCTGAGGTATGCATGCTACGATAATAAATTAATTATTGAACTTTACGCATTTCCTTGCATGGCAGAGATGTGCAAAGTACCTGACCAGACACAAACCAACATGAAAGAACCACACAAAAATATGATTTTGCATCAGAAATATTTGCCATAAAAACAAAATGTTTTATGTTGAATCCGCTCAGGTT